GTACGCGAGATAGACGCGCCGCTAGAGTCCAGTTTGTTGAATATAGTGGACGTAATTTAATCTAGATAAAAGCGAGAGAGAGAGAGAGAGAGAGAGAGAGAGAGAGAGAGAGAGAGAGAGAAATAAAAGATGAATAAGTATTTATTATCCGTGATTGAAAGACAACTCTAATAATGATTGCAGGAAACTTTAATCATTATTAGAGTTGTCTTTCATTTGAATTAAACTTCTTAATTATAAGAGAATTCATCTAAATAACAGATAGACGAATAATTTATACGCAATGATTTAACTGAAATTATAAGTTTGTTTGTCATTATATTATATGGTTAGTTTCAAATGTGTGAAATTTTTTTGTGAGATTTATTTTCCTGCCGGATGGATTTCTTTTTAATGGCCGCCTCATAAAGCAAACTGCAGTATCTCCTTCGAACTTTTTTTGCAAAATAATCGCGCAAAAAAAGAAGAGTAAAAAGTAAGGATGGAGGGTAGCAATTTTTTGGGAAAAGGATAGATAACTGTTTTGCATTTACAGCTACTATTATTTGTAGTAAGGATACGCGCGCACATTTATCATAACTATCTTTAAAAAGAGAAAGTAGGTAGCTTCCCCTTTTTTGATTAAGTTAAGACCTAAAAGAATATGATACTTCGGTGTCAAGTTCGAAAATTTTGTTAGTGAAAATTATTCTGTAGTTTTATGTCGTAAAAAAGTATCTTAAAAAAGTATTTTGTGTATGTGTTTGTGTGTGGAAAATATTACATATTATTAAATATTATAATATTAAATAGAAAATGTTTAAAAAATTGAAAATTTTACTTTTTTACTTAAATAATTTTTGATAATAACAAAATACCTACAATTGTAATATATAATCATATAATTTTTCAACAAATCTCAAAAAATGTCTTAAATAAGAATTTTTCTAGATATAACAAGATATATATATATTTCAATGAAGGCAAGATTTTAAAAGTAAAAAAAATTGAATTGAAATACATTTGATACTACTTAATTTAATATATCTGCAATTATATTCATAATTACGATTAGATTGCAGCAAAAAGGGTAAGAAAATGTTGGTGATTATTATTAATTGTTAGTAATTCGCGGAAAAAACGGTGGGAAATACCTCGCGAAGTATAATCCTGTCATAGCATCATTTTTTAATATAATGATGTATGCAGAAAAAATACAAATCAGTTGTTTAAAAACACGCGTTGTTTTAGAAAGTATGTTAAAAAGTATATAAATTCTATCATTTATAATAAGTTTGGAAACGCCTACAATTTTCTCGTATTTCACGAAAAATATTTCATCAGTAAAAAAACCGTAGAAAAGGTTTGTATTTTAAAGAGGAAAGATATAAAGCTAAGATCGGTATTCATATCGATTCTTGTATCTGAGAATGTTTTAAGTATGACAGAAGTAAGACAGTTTTAAGATATCGTAAGCCAATCAGAGAGCTACTAGTATCTTAAAACATCATTTAAGATGATCTTGAAATTAGAATAAACTATGAATACCGCGGTCTAAATCTGTCTTTTTTAGTTTGTGTAATATTTTGTTCCTAAATTATATAAAATTAAAAGTGGATATTTTCTAATATCTTTTTCTTTCTCTATTTTCAAGTGCTGTAGCTTGATGAAAATCATTTGTCATCATACAAAAATTAATAATGAAGGATGTTTTTTAAGCTTCAAATGTTTTTTTTTTAAATTAGTGCAATAATTTTTCATAATAATTCAACTTTTGTGACAATTTATTTTTTATGAAATATTTTAAATTTTGAAAATAAAGAATTTACAGAAAAAAAAG